TATATATATATATATATATATATATATATATATATATATAGGATGTTATGACTTTAATCTCCTTTCTTTTAATGTTTATACAATCACGTATGTTGACTTGGGGAAGAAGTAATTCTTTCAGGAAGAGTGATATTTGAAGAAATCCGTGGCGCAAATTTATATTTTGATACAAAGTCCGAGACGTATTTAGAAGTCGCTGTGTAATGTCGGTCTTTAGCGTTTGTGTTATAAAGTAAGTAATATTCTATGCTATTTCCGAACCAGTATTGTTATATTTATTGTGGGATGTCGTTTACCTGACCCGGTCCGTGAAACTAAAATGCCAGAGTCCATGAGAAACTGTCGTTATAGACATTTATTTCCTTTAAATGGCAATTTCCAATTTCTATCAAAACTGGCCAGTACAGTCAGGCAACAATGCATCAAGTAAAGTGTTCATTTCTCTAACGCATTGTGAGCTTCAGTACATTCTGTTATCGAGTTTGCAAGTTAATTCTGACTTGAAAGAAATTCGATTTAAAAATTATTCTCAATGTATCTTCTCGAAATATTCTGAAAATTTTAGCCCGTAAATGCCAAGTTCGTTTTCGAAATTTCAGTGTTTTTGTATGTTTTTTTTTTTTTTTTTTTTTTTTTTTCGCTTTCCAAACTGTCTGGAATTTACTTGCGGCTCTAATTCTCTAAATATACAAGTGTTTATTTAAATGCTTTTCATTTTTATTTCTGTGATTACTTTTACTCTGTCTCTTGCCAACTTGGTTGAATGTGGAACACTTATTTGAAACGTGTAATTTATTGGTTAAAAAAACAATGAGCGACTAAATGCACTTGTGAAAGACTCGTATTTGCCAAATACGCTTTTAGAAAGCATTTTTACTAAGTAATGGTGAAGATAAGTGTTGTAACGGAAGGAGCTTAGTTAGCGACGGATGCGGTTGTTTCAGAACTGTGATGGAAAGGGTTGAAATTTACGAATGAAGAGAGACTGGCAACTTTCATTATGTAAATGAGGTGTGTGTGTGTGTGTGCTATCGGGCAGCATTTCAGCTAGTTTCTGCAGAGGGCTCTTGATTAGGCCTTCATCACAATAGTTATGGAGTAGTCGATGCGATAGGCAACATTAAACTACGGAACTAAAAATATTTAAATATTGCATTGATATTTAATCTTACCTTTTAAAAGTTCAGCGATAATCCTTAGGTCGTCACTTAATTTAAAGACAATTTCATGTACGTAGGTCCTTAATTTTCGTATAAATAATTAATTTTATTTAATGGCTGACTTTCGCTGGATTTCGCAGTTAATGTCGATTATTCCTAAATTTATTTCCAAGTTATAATAATAGCTATCGTACAAAATATTTGTCGCAAATATCACGTAAAAAATAGCCGAAAACAATCGCAGTTATGAAAACTTGGGAATCCAAAATTTCAGGATGACCTCTCTGGATCCGGCCCAGAATGATTTTAATTTACTCACGAAGTCTGCCTGTTCCAAAGTGGTCTAAGTCCTCTAAGAGTGAAGAAGGAAAAAGTGTGACAATGGGACACTGACATTGGCATTTATTATAGAGTAGAAGATGAGCTATTGAGAGTTGTCACACTTTAATTGAAAAACTGTGATATATTGACATTTATCATATATATATATATATATATATATATATAAACCTAGTAAGCCAGACAAACCTACCCAGGTTTCACCTAAGCGTATCCCTGACGATCCGCTTAGGTGAAACCTGGGTAGGTTTGACTAGGTCTGCTCTATGGTTGTATTGAGCTCATTTTAGTTAGTTGTTTACTCGTGTCGAGGTTTTTTCTTTGGGCTTTGAACCTGTATCTGTGCGATTTTTTTCGACAGACTTTCATGTTCCTGACTCTTTCTTTTTTAAAAACCTTTTTTCCTTTGAGATTGATTTGATTATTGGCAAATTAAAAATTCAAAGGTTTTTTGAAACTAGTATAGTTACCTATATATATATATATATATATATATATATATATATATATAATGAATCAAGATATGTTCAAATAACTTACTCGGTTCGCTGATTCAATAGTTTCACGTCGAAACGCTCATCTGAGCCTGTTCTTTGATAATCCTTATAAATTATCAAGTTTCAAAATTATAGTTTTATATATTTATACATTTGGAGTTGAATAGATTAATTAAACATCTGGTCCTGGTAAATATTTCAACGCGAAACGCCTGAGTCAGTTAATCAGGAAGTTACTTGAATCTATCTTAATGTATTGAATAGTATAGCTGTAGTAGTTAACTATTGACCGTCTTTTTGACATAATTTCTGCTCATCGGAAAAACCACGTAAGATTTTCATGATATTCAAGTATTTTCTCAGTTATTTATATATATATATATATATATATATATACATACATACATGTTTGGAAAATCGTCATTTGGCCAGACGTGCTGATAACCATTCAGTCATAGATGACTTCCTGTTTAGCAACGTTAAAATTACTGCTATAAACACATATCCTCGATGAATCATTTCTGCCCCGAATGTTGTCAGTGTTTACGTGAAGTTACGTTTTGGAGCAGAAATGATTAATCGAGAAAAGACGTCCAGGATGCATGTTTATAGCAGTAATGTGGACTTGGCTAAACCAGAAGTCCACACATATATATATATATATATATATATATATATATATATATATATATATATATATATATATATTTTTATTTATATATATATATTTTTTATATATATATGTGTGTGTGTGTGCATACAGATAGACATTTCAGAAAAATGCAAAAACAAAAAAAAAAAAAACAACATTCATGGAATTATCCATAACCATGTGGTTTTGTTGAAATCTAGCAATAGGCCTACATGGGAAGAATACTGTACATCCAGGGGCCAATTTAGGAAGACAAGGCAACTTCTTTTTCTTTATACCATCAAATGCCACGCCACCTAGCGGTGTTAAGCGAAGTTCATTTTTAGACGAGATATATATATATATATATATATATATATATATATGACACAATAGTGTTTTTTTTTTTTTTTGTTTTTTTGTTTTTGTTTTTTTCGTAAATAAAACACACAGTGGTTAAAATAACTGATTAGTTTAGAGTGGTGTCTTTGAAACAGTAGAAGTTGTTTTTGTCGCTGGAAGGATTAAACCATTGGTGCTGAAACTTTTCTTCTGCAGCACCGCATTTTATATATTTGCGCCAACCTGCTCCCTCCCCACCCCGGTTAAAGTGGCTCTGATAAATGCGTCTGAGTTAATGTCACGTGATTATTGCGTTATGTAAGCTCTAATCACTGAAAGTAAGATGTGTCAGCAACAGTCAAGCGCTGGTCACTAGGTTAGGACATAGACGCTACTGGTCTCTAGCTTAGTTATTTTTGTTTCCGACATTTATTGCAGTTGCATCTAAATGTTGGAAAAAATGTAATGAAAAAATGTATGTATATATATATATATATATATATATATATATATATATATATATATATATATATATATATATATATATACAAAATATATAGAAAATATCTACATAAAATTTTGACTTATTCCAAACAGGATACAAAAGCTGAAATCGGCTGTTTAAATTATACCTTCCCCTGATAACATTAATTGACCCTCCTGGAGAATTCGTGGCGCCTACTGGTTTAAACTGTTCTTCTTAGTAAACAATTCTTAATTCGCACTATTTACAGTATTCAGATTATTGTCCAAATCTTTATCATTTTCACAGCGTTTTGTCTCTTGTACGTCCCCCCCCTTCTTCAGGTGATATACTAAATCAAGGTTTCAGTTCGAAATTCCAACGTATAACAGCAGAAGGCCGAAGCGTACAATGTCAATAAAGATGAGGACAAGAGTCTGAACAATGTAAATAGTTAAAATAACTCTAAAAAAATATAACCTTAATTCTTAAAAAAAAAATACAATAATACATTAAAATTACATCAAATAATGTAATTAAAAGACCGTTGTACATGGTGAAAGTCCGCGTTCTGTTCTCCAGCGAAAGCTGATGAGCAACACAAATTCCCTCTTTGCAAGTTTTCCTAATTCTCTTTACTTTTCTTTTTTCTCATTGTCTTTCTCTCTTCTTTCTCGTGTTTTCCTCTGTCTCCTTTCTCGTTTTTTTCCTCTGTCTCCTTTCTCGTTTTTTTCCTCTGTCTCGTTTTTTTCCTCTGTCTCGTTTTTTTCCTCTGTCTCGTTTTTTTCCTCTGTCTCGTTTTTTTCCTCTGTCTCGTTTTTTTCCTCGGTCTCGTTTTTTTCCTCGGTCTCGTTTTTTTCCTCTGTCTCCTTTCTCGTCTTTTCTCTCTACAGTTATAATCCTCGATGGGGTTAAAACTCTAGTCATAAGCGGCACACTGTCATGTAGAAGAGCCGATAAACTAATTATTGTTGCAACCTTGGTTCGTTGATTAATAACTCATAGCTTTAAAATACGTAATTACTTTCCGTACAGACCAATGTACTTGTATACATTTTTACTAAGCGTAATTTAGATTTTGTACAAGGCCAGAAATACGAGGCACCCAGTTAGGATCGAACTCCCTATGACGCAGCAACTGATCTAGCAAGACGATTTTGCTAACCATTGCACCACGTCTACGTGCCATTTTCTACACTTACCTTAAATGTAGCACAATACCGAAAATATGGTGCACCCAGTGAGGATTAAAATCATGACGCAATCGTAATTGATCTATCGAGGTAAACATGTTCACTTTTACATCACGTGGAAGGACCCACAACTGTCCTCCTATATCAGTGAAGAAACATTGGTATGAAGCAACAAAGACATATTTTTACCTAATGATTCATATAACATGGAGTCTAAGAATAAATTTTAACTTTTTTTTTTCTATAAAAAGCTTTAGAAAATTTTATCTTAGGGAAAATAGGATTATTTTGACTTCATGACCTTTGAATCTTACCATTCCGAGCAAATATCAAGGTACAGGAATAATTTCATTTTCTTTCCCGTTTCCATTTCAGGTTACGATCGGTCGGGTGAGTTACTTGATCACAGGTGTGGAAAAAGCTCCATTAATGTCAATAACATCGGTCGCTACGCCTACATTTATTTCCACACCGACGCAGATACGGAACGAGAAGGGTTTTCTCTTAAATACAAATCGACTAACAGTGGTAAGTAGTTTTTTTTTTGCTTTTATTTATTGCATGAAATTTCAGCTAGCATTGGAAGAAAACACCCAGCTACATTGCAAATACAAACATCTCTCTCTCTCTCTCTCTATATATATATATATATATATATATATATATATATATATATATATATATATATATATATATGATGGAACCTATTAACCTGAGCTTTCCGGCATAGAGAGAAACCCATGAAAATTCTTTCACGTCGGGTAGTAGTCAAGATACAGAAAAATTATATTAAAGCAAAATCCAGCAAATGCTGCTCTTGGTAAAATTGTGGCATAAATCCATTTTTTTTTTTTTTTTTTTACACTTTATTTTAGCTGCTAAATAAGAAAGCAACTAATAAGGCAATATTCGCATATTGTAAAACGACACTCCATTCGATTTACTTTCGAGGAAAACTTATTGCTTCGTAGCACGTGTCTGAGGGTCATATGCAAAAGATGTCTTTTTTGGTATGTATCGCTCGGTGAGTGGGGAAAAATAGGTTTCTCTTTCTAGGGTGCAAATCGATATTTTCTCTTTTTGCTCACTAAAATCTCCGTTTCACATAAATAGACTTTTATTTGCCCCGTAATTTAACCCAAGCTGAATCGTTTTGGTTGCTTACATAATGTTTGTAGTGTATCCCGTTTTAAACCTTTTTTCCTTTCCTTTCTTTTTTCCTTTCCTTTCTTTTTTCCTTTCCTTTCTTTTTTCCTTTCCTTTCTTTTTTCCTTTCCTTTCTTTTTTCCTTTCCTTTCTTTTTTCCTTTCTTTTTTCCTTTCCTTTCTTTTTTCCTTTGCTTTCTTTTTTCCTTTCCTTTCTTTTTTCCTTTGCTTTCTTTTTTCCTTTGCTTTCTTTTTTCCTTTGCTTTCTTTTTTCCTTTGCTTTCTTTTTTCCTTTGCTTTCTTTTTTCCTTTGCTTTCTTTTTTCCTTTCTTCGGTAACCGTCCACCCATCCCTTCACATAAGCTCGACATGGAGGTGGCTTGCTCTCTTACCCATAATACGCCCCGTGAGGGTTAAGTTTTCCAAGCCATCTTATTATGCGACCAAGAAATTTTACTTTTCTCTTTCTGATTCTCTATATCCTTTTGTTGCCATTTTCTTTAAACCTTTTTGTTTCTGACTCACTCCGCCCACAGAATTCTCAGTACCCTTCTATAGAATCACTTTTCTCTTGCTTTTAGTTTTCTCTTAATCTGTCTAGCATTCTCCGCCATACAAAAGGATTTATAGTTAAATTTGTATACCAATACATTTTAATTACTATAATATAGTTAACATATATAAAGAGAAAAGTTTAAAAAGAAAATTAAGCTAGCAGTGCGTACCACAAGCATCTAATAGATTCTGGATTTTAGAGATTATATTTTTATTTGGAACCCATGGCTAAGTTCCGAAAATCACCATCTTAAGAAAAAGTCTGACAAAACAAAAACATACAGGTGATGTGTAGAGGAATCTTGAAACAATGTTAATCTGTCATTGCATTTTAAATAAAAATTCAATTTTTTTTTAATTTTATTTCTTTTATCCCTTTTTAATTATTATGTCATTATTTTCTCTCAGTTACGTGATATAAATTTTAGTTTTTGCTGCTACTGAAAGTCCTCAAGTAATGTGGTTTCTGTTATATGGTACAGATCATTGTTTGTGATTTTGTAGCGCCAATCCACGAAGATCAAAGAAGACTAGTCCTCGCTAAGACCTACACGCTTCTATCGCTCGGAGCCATTTTAACTCTCAATATGAGAATGCTGTTGGTAGTTTAAATATTCTGAACGACTTTGGCGCCATGTATGTCATCCGTAAAAAAGTCTCCATGAATAATTTATTGGAACACGATATATTATTTTTTATAATTTTGAATGTTGATGGGAATATTTAAATTTTTAGAGCACAACATTTTTCATTGCCATATAAACCTTTCGAAAACTATAGTTCTTGGTCAGGTCAGGTCTGACAGTTGCGTACTGGACATTTGCGCCCCGGCAATTGCATATCAGACAATTGCGTCCCTGAATATTTTCATCCTTAGGTAATTGCGTACCTCTGATAATTATTGAAGTTACAATTTTTTTTTAAAGAGTTGTTTAATATAGTAATTTTGATACCAGTACCTTTAATTACTCGAAGCAAACAGAAAGGCAGTTACCATAAATTAAAAAGAAATATTTTTTTTTTAAAGTAAGCGAAAATTAAGCTAGCAGTTTCAGTTCACTCCAGCAATGCGTAACACAAACACCTAATAGATTCTAGATTTTATAGATTATGTTTTAATTTGGAACCCATGGCTAAGTTCTGAAAAGCAAACACTGGAGTAAAAAATATTTGGGACGAGGAAAATTACAGCTACCACTATCATAAGAAAAAGGCTGCTGAAACAAAAACAAAATGGCTATGTGTAGATGGATCTTGCAACATTATTAATCTGCCATTGCATTCTTAACAAAAGTAAACTTTTATTTATTTTTTTTATTTTATTCCTTTTTAAAAATTTAACTACTACCTATACCTTTTTTCAAAATTTACGGTAATTGCCTTTAAAAGCTTCAAAATTTATCAGAGGTACGCCATTATGCAGGGACGCATTTATCTAGTCCGCGGATGTCAAATGGGCAACTGTCGTAGAAGCGGATGTCAAATGGGCAACTGTCGTAGAAGCGGATGTCAAATGGGCAACTGTCGTAGAAGCGGATGTCAAATGGGCAACTGTCGTAGAAGCGGATGTCAAATGGGCAACTGTCGTAGAAGCGGATGTCAAATGGGCAACTGTCGTAGAAGCGGATGTCAAATGGGCAACTGTCGTAGAAGCGGATGTCAAATGGGCAACTGTCGTAGAAGCGGATGTCAAATGGGCAACTGTCGTAGAAGCGGATGTCAAATGGGCAACTGTCGTAGAAGCGGATGTCAAATGGGCAACTGTCGTAGAAGCGGATGTCAAATGGGCAACTGTCGTAAAGCGGATGTCAAATGGGCAACTGTCGTAGAAGCGGATGTCAAATGGGCAACTGTCGTAGAAGCGGATGTCAAATGGGCAACTGTCGTAGAAGCGGATGTCAAATGGGCAACTGTCGTAGAAGCGGATGTCAAATGGGCAACTGTCGTAGAAGCGGATGTCAAATGGGCAACTGTCGTAGAAGCGGATGTCAAATGGGCAACTGTCGTAGAAGCGGATGTCAAATGGGCAACTGTCGTAGAAGCGGATGTCAAATGGGCAACTGTCGTAGAAGCGGATGTCAAATGGGCAACTGTCGTAGAAGCGGATGTCAAATGGGCAACTGTCGTAGAAGCGGATGTCAAATGGGCAACTGTCGTAGAAGCGGATGTCAAATGGGCAACTGTCGTAGAAGCGGATGTCAAATGGGCAACTGTCGTAGAAGCGGATGTCAAATGGGCAACTGTCAAGCGGATGTCAAATGGGCAACTGTCGTAGAAGCGGATGTCAAATGGGCAACTGTCGTAGAAGCGGATGTCAAATGGGCAACTGTCGTAGAAGCGGATGTCAAATGGGCAACTGTCGTGGGAAGCGGATGTCAAATGGGCAACTGTCGTAGAAGCGGATGTCAAATGGGCAACTGTCGTAGAAGCGGATGTCAAATGGGCAACTGTCGTAGAAGCGGATGTCAAATAGGAATGCAGAATTATTATTTATTATTATTATTTTTGTTGATTTGTTTTGTCTCTTGGTAATTTGCTTAGCTTTAAGAATGATTATTTCTTCATATATGGGTTTATTTGTTCAGTTTTAAAGTTCTGGGTACGTGTTTTCAAGACTTGTTTAAAGTAAAGCTGAACATTAACCTTTATGCCATCTTCTTGCATTCCATATTGCTTCATTTATGCGAAGTTTTACGATATCCATATGCAACTGTACATTTATTGGGTAACACACTACGATTGCCTTTTTTTTTTTATTTTATTTTATTTTTTTTACCGATTCTGTTTTTCTAGTTTGAAAGGAAAAGATTCTCGCAGGTGCTAATTCATAAAGACATTGATTAAGGAGGTGTCAAATGTGTGCTATTCTGAAATCCTTTCAAAACACATTAATGTCGGGATTTCAATTGTCATTTTGAATTAAGCCCCAAATAATATAATTCCGCGTTTGCCTTTGTTAATCTATGCGTTACGACCTGACCTTACCTCAGGTAACGAATAAACACTTCCATTTTAATTTTTAAAAAAGATGGAAGATATAAGAACGACGCTGTTTGGGTTGAGTGAGATAAAGAATACACACACGAAAAGAAAGAATGGGAAGATAAAACAGGCGATGATGCTCACGCGCGTTTAACGTCTGCTTCATTGAAATAGAAAATCTCGTCAATTTTTAATCTTTTGATTGGTATCCCTTACATAAAATAATGGCGTAAATTCATGTTTATCATTGTAATATTTTAAATTTCATAAAGGTCATATTTAGGCGAATTTCCACGTATTTTATAGTAATGGACATTTTTGTTTTGTTTTTCCTCATTTCATCTCATGTAAGGCAGTAAAGCCACTAAGACATAAGGATTTACTGAGTATGAAAGAATAAGGGGGGAAAAGAAACATTAAGGAACGAGAAAAATAGAATGCTGTTCAGGAAGACTGCAGTTAACGACTGACATTGCATTTAAATTTTTGAAAACCAAACTTGATTGGAAAGCAAGAAGCCAGAAGAGACTTCCACAAGCGAGAAAATAAACTGTTAGCATCGAACATATTGTTACACCTAGCCAACTCACCTGTAAATTTATGAAACCTCGTTGCTAATCAAGTACTACGCTTAAATTCATAGTCTAGGTACCACAGCAAAAAGGTCAAATGAACAGTTACCGTGAAAGTATTTATTGAAATGGAACAAGGAAAAAAAATTAGGGTGGTGGTAAAATGGCTAAAGTAAAAAGACGCCAGGTCAAGACCAATAATATTGCTGATTCTTCTTTTATCATGAATCTTTAAATATATAGCAGGAGCACCGGACCATATGTGGTGGCAGTTTTCAAAGCATGGATGATTTGTAGACTTGTAAATATGTAAGATAGATTCAGGAGACGTGAACCAAATTTCTTAGCAATGGATTCAATATAATCTTTTCACCTAATGTCATTCAAGAATGTTATCCCGAGAAGGTGCAGCAAGTCCCTCTCCTAGGGTTTAATTACTCAGTAACTTAATAATTATGATACATCAGAAAAGTCACATAATAAAACAGTGAATTTTCAAAGTTAATTTATTTTTGCCAAAACTGTAACCCAAAAATCGATTATGTTTTTAACTTTAAAAAGACAGCACTTCGTTCTAAAGTGAGTGCAAAGTCAAGCAAGATTTATCAAGCTACTACTTATCGATTACGCGTAATAAACTTGGATTGAGTTTTAATTTGTGATAGTGCAAGATTGGGTTTTATCTTGGGAAATTTTAACAAATAGGGTTGGGAGGTGAATAAAACGGGTTTTGTTGTTGCAATCTGATAATTAAACCTGTGAAAAACTCCGCAGTGATTTAATCTCAAACTGAATTGCTACTGTTTAATCTTTAATCCAAAATCTCTTGAAAGATACGGATCGTGATTAACGTGCTACAGAAATGAACCAGGAACTTCTTTTTTCAGGAATCGAAATTTGTTAGAATGCCTAAATTACGGTTGCCATCTTAAAACAAATAAGAGAATTGTCAGGTTTAAAATAGGTCGTTTCCAAATCGAGTTGATCGGCCTGCTCTAAAGGGAGAGTTAAACTGAACACAGTTGCTAAAATTAATTTGTATGGTGTTGACATTCTTGACAATGTCTCGCTGAGGATGATGCACGCAGGTAAATATTCTCAAGATTGCTTCGGGTTTAAAGCAGTAAGAATATATATTTTTTTAAAGTTAGTTAACAAACAGAGAGAAGGAAAGAGTAAGAATCGAGCTGTGCGGTGAAAGTTTAATCCTTTGAACCCTAACCACCGCT